ATATTATTGCTGAATAACTAAGAAAGTTTATTGGTCTTATAAAAATTTTATTGGTCCACCTCAACATTGAAAACTGAAAATTTTCCAAATTCTATTATTGATTTTAAAATTATTAAAAGTAAAAAAAATTATATATTAAATTGATATTAATAATAAAAAACTAAAATAAAAAATATTAAAATAGGAAATTTTGATTTTAAATTAGATATATATACACATATTTAGAGACTCTTATATTAGCATCCAATTTTTTTTGTCACATAACTATAATAATTTTAAGTTTTTTTTCTTGTGTGTGCAACCATGTAAAATAAACTAAAACAAAAGATAGAGTAAGGTTTGACTAAAAATGAGTTATTACAAGGTAAAAGAACTAACTTGACTAAACTATATATTTAACTATTAGCTAAATTACAAAGAATATAATAAAAGAAGATATAAACAAAGCCACTACAAGAACAAACTTGACTAAACTATATGTTTAATTATTAGCTAAACTATAAAGAATATTATGAAAAGAGATATTAACAAAAGCACTACAAGTCGCTTTAATATTGAAAAAGATATCATAAAATCTCCAAAGCTTAGCCACCAAATTTGAGAAGAATGATAAATTTCAAGCAATCCGAGAAACATGTCAAATGATTGATACTCGACCTTTTGAAAAACCAAACACTGAAAATAGAGAAAAGAACATAGCAGAGGAGACTGAGGTATCTGAAGAAATTTTTTAAAATAACATAGCATCTGAATGGGTTTTAACAACCCAACATAAATAAAAAAAAAGTAACAATTAGCTGACCAACCAGCATCTGAATATATTCGGTAAGCCTCAAAATAAAGAGGAGAGGCTAAAATCACTTGCCGCAACGAGCCTCGTGCGAGATTTTACAGTTTTGATTTCTAAATGTATTACTAATAAAAGTTATAGCTATATGCCTCTAAGAATGTCCATATATGATTTAAAATTTCAATTATGTTGGTCCACATCAATATTTAAAATTAAGAATATTTCTAATTTTTAAAATTATATTGTTAACAAACATATATATTTAAAGAAAAATAAAAGTTGAAGCTATATGCCTCTAAAGACATCCACATAAAATTTAAAATGTCAATTTTATTATTTCACATCAATAACTAAAATTATTTTTTTTTTCTAAATTATAAAATTATATTGTTAATACAAAATAATATAGGAAAATTTGTTAATTAAAATTATTCTATTATTAATGATAGTTAAAGCTATATTATTTTCAAAGCATCCACATCAGCATTTAAAATTTTATTTTTATTCGTATATATCAAAATTATAAATTAAAAAAAAAATCATAATTCTAATATTATGATTAAAAAATATATTAAAAAATAAAAAAATCTCTATTAACCAAGAAAAAAATCAACATGATATTGAAATCTCCATTATCACTGTTCAAATCACAAATTTAATTTATTATCTATAAAAAATATAGCTACTTATACAAGTTTAAGTTACTTGATTTTAAAGCTTTTCATGTAGAATTTTAAATAACTAATATTTATGATTTATATTCATCTATTTTTTATAACATATGCAAAACATATCATCGAAATATGTAATATATTATGCGAAAATATGTAATATTTTTTTCTCATGTAAGATATTATGCAAAAATGATCAAAAAATTTACACTTTATATATTCAATTTGGAATTCAATAGATTAATGTAGAACTTCTTAGTTTTGAGTTGTTCAATTTGTTATTTCATTTTTATAAATTTGTATGTATTAAATTGTACTGGTTATGTCTACTTAATTATAATTAGAAGTGAGAACGAATATGATGAAACTGAATATAATTAAGAATTAGATGATTGTCTGGTTGGCTTTTCAAATTAGGAAATAGTAAAAAAAAAATCATCTAAACATAGGAAATGGGATTTCATAATTATGGTTTTTGGATCATGGAGCGACTATTGCATTTGATTATCGTTTCAGCACTTGAATTTCCCTTTTCTCATTTTGTTGGTACGAACCAAATATGTTTTCCCTTGGTGTTAGAGCTTTGCTTTCTTAGGTTTCACAAGAGATGTATATTTTATCTTTAGGTAACACTAACCTTATTTGGTCTTATAAGTAAATAAATATCTTCCTCTTTTAGTTTATTTACGGGCTACACCTGTTTCAATAGGAATAGCATTGAAGTACACTCTATGTAGACGTTTGCTTTAAGTTCCCCTGTTGCTATGTGTTAGAAAAACCTTGAAACGATTATATGACTCACAAACAAGAACCTGTAAATTTTAGTTGCAATTATGGCATTTCAAATTATAGATGGATCAGGAGAGGAGTTGGGACCTTCTATGATTAGCATGGTTGATCCAAATTGTCCTCTTCAAATTATGTTTGTTTTCTGTGCAATTGTGTCACAGGTCCGTTTCTTTGATTCATAATTGATCACCGTGCTGAATGATGTTATGGTTCACTGACCCATCTCTTAGATTCATCGTACTGAACTCATCGTTTTTTTTACCACAGATGGGAAGCTCTCAGGCCATAAAAGGAGAGATAACACCAGATGAAACAAGAAGAGTCACAAGTACAAAGGAAAAAGAATTTCTCTGGGAAATATTCGAGTAGTAATTTGCATCATCCCTGTAATTTGTTTCAAGTTGCTGGAACTGCATTTCAAAAACGTTTCATGTTTGACTAGAGTACCAAAAAAAAAAGCACATAAGACACACTGATACAATGGTTAAAATGATGAAGATGTTTTAAAGGAAAACAAAATGTGTGATCAATATGAATAAAGAGAAGTAAAAGATAGCAAAAATGTTTGAAAGTTAAACTAAGAGAACAAAAGAAGAGAGGAGCAGTTCAAAGAGACAAAACTAAACTTATGTAGAAATTATATATTATGAAGGATAAGAAGAAGAAGAACATGTTGAAGATTCTCGAGGAGCAACGAAGGGAGATCTAAATTAGGAATCTAGAGATACATAAATTTAAAGCCTTTGAGTATATGTAGTTAATCGATAGAGTATCAATGTTAATTAGTTTCTTTTGTGTTCTGATTTATGTGTAATATTGTTGATAAAAAAAGTTAAAACCTTCACGTACATGTAAGTGTGATAGATGGAGTTTAAAAATTGATGAATATGTAATTTTAATTTTATGTCTTACATTGCTGTTAATTTGTATTCAGTCTGGTATGATAACAAATTCAATTGTCTAAAGTTTTGGATTTCATTTTATAAACTTTATGCCCGAGCAAAGCGCAGGCTAACCACCTAGTATGATAGATTCATTGAAAAAACAGATATAACAATAATAAAAATGAAGAAAATGAAAAACAAATTCATTCTTATTAGAAGAGATGACATATAATCATTAAAAAATTATTTAAATACACTACTAATTGTCAAAAATATATTTATTCACAAATTTGGTGTGATTTTATTCATTTCGTATGCAACTATTGTTTTGGTTTCAAATTTAAAGTTGTTATGAATCTCAAAGAAAATATTTTAATTATTAGTTTGTTTTTTAAATTAATATATCAAAATAAAAATTTGTATTTGTTAAACAAGAGTAGAAAAAATATTAAATTTTATTTTTATTTTTTATTATTTTTAAAGAATATATCTATAATTAAAATAAAAGTGAAAATGATGGGAAAAAATTATCTTCTTGATTTAAACCCTGAATGTATAATATTTTATTATCATGTTAATACTATGTTTAAAAAGTACCATTTGATTAAGTTGTAAAAATTTTAGTTGGTTTTGGTATATTAACTTATAAGTGTTTGACCAAATAATATATTTTTGAAATATGATATACTGTATATAGATTCAAAACAAAACCCTTAAAACATCACAATTTACATAAAAATTATTAGATCAATACTATAATATTTTAATATATTATTAAAACACTAATATATAAAATTTATATCTTAATAAATATAATTAATTGCATATAATTTTTATCAACAAAATACCCATGCTATTATATATCAACAAAATACTCACGCGTAGCGTGGATGCAAAATCTAGTATTTTTATAAAAATATTATGGTATTGGTTAACCTAATTGAATTTGATTATGGGTAATTTTGGAAAACAAATAAATCCCAAAATATTTAGAAAAATAATATATGGAAAATGTGATCAACAAATAAAATAATTATAACTAATATATTCTCCACAAAAATTCCCACATATGATATGATGATTCTGTTTCCTAATCAATTTGTTCATAAAAAAAATCGGAATTAATCTCTTTCTAAAATTAGAAATCCGAAAAAATTCTAATCATTAAAACTCGAAAAATAAAAAGATATATTTATTACATGATTTGCGTTTTTTGTTAGTATTTTTGTGCTATGAATTTGGAAAAATGTAAACTACATTCAATATTTTGTATTCAATTTCTAATATTAACTTTCCCGCTTCTTTGATTTTATATCTATTTATTATCTAAACTTCTTTAAGAAGAAAATCTACGCCTATATAAGAAGGTCATTGGCTTCTTTCATATTCATCGATCATATCAATTCTCATTGTTTCTGTTTTTGTGCGTTTTTTTAAATTTGAAATTAACTGAGTTTTGTTGTTTTTTTTTTTTTGGTAAAGGGCTTTCTTAAATTTGAATTAAAAAGAGTTTACAAGGGAACAAGATGAAACCATTCGTCTTTTACAAAAAGGAAATAGACGAAGAAGAAATAAGAAGCTAGAAGGAGATTTACACAAAGAAGTGAAATCTCAGACAGGTCTAAAAGACGAAGACCAGATGACAATAAGGCTAGCCCGAGAAGAGTGATTGGTAGGAAGACTCATTGCTTTAGATTTTACAGCAGAGAGCACCAATTGAGCAATCTTCTACGGAGGCCAAGTAATACCGCTGTGATAACGCCTATTTCTTTCAGCCCAGAGTTCATAAATGCAACCTTGCCATAGTTGAAGTAAAGCCGCAGAAAGATCCTTTTGACGAGACGGATGGGGCAACCAAATCAGAACCTAAGCTGAAGGTGGAGGGAATACCTGTATTTTTGAAACCACTAACTTCCACACAATCATCGAGTAAGGGCAGTAAAAAAACAAGTGATCTCTTGATTCATTACCAACCCCACAAAGAAGACATAAATGTTCTACATCACAACCCCATCTTCTCAGGCGGTCAAGCGTTGGGTTACGATCCAGAACAAAAAGCCATGCCGAGAAAGCATGTTTGGGGATTCTTACTTTTGGCCAAACGAGCTTGAACCAAGGCACCTCCTCCTTACGCTCTCTTATACTGTTCCAAACATATCTTGCAGAAAACGATTTCTGGACTTCTCCATTAATCATCCAGACTGGAGAATCACACGATGCAGAAGGGACAATCGATGATAGGAAGGAATATAGTTGAAGCTGCTTCTCAGACCGAGCGTTAGGAAGATTCCAGCCCTGAGAAGAGATTTGTTGGCCTACTGTTGAAAACAGAGGGATGCCAAGACGAGAAGGGCCATCATCACCCATAAACTGGATCAAAGGACCAAAAGGAGTCCATGGATCCCACCAGAAGAAGGTATCATCTCCATTTCCAATAAAAATCTGAATCAAAGAGCTTGCTTTCCCCCTTAATTTCAGAAGTCTGCGGAACATCCAAGAGAAAGAATAGTTTTCCTCATTTAAGGCCCAGAAAGGTGAGTGAGATAGGTATTTGGCTCTGATCCATGCTACCCACATTGATCCTGCTCTGAAAAATAGCATCCATATGAGTTTTAACCCACATGTATCACTCCAACTACTCATTTTTCTCATGCCGAGACCTCCTTCAGATTTCGGGTAAGAGATGCTGTCCCATGACACTTTTTCACCTTTGGCAGAGATAAAAGAACCATGCCAGAAAAAAGCCGCAACAAGAGTATTGATTTGCTTGAGAACTCGCTGTGGGATAAAAAAGCAGAGCTCCAAAATCCAATAATTCCAGGGATGACAGAAGAGAGAAGAGCATACCTGCCTGCCAGACTCAGGTGTTTTAGGGTCCATGAAGAAAGTTTCTTTTTGACCTGAGCCAGCAAAGGATCACAATCCGCTACAGATAGTTTTCTCGAGCAGAGGGGCAAGCCCAGGTAGCGGATTGGAAGTGACGAAGGGGTCAGGTCAAACCGGTCTTGAATCTCAGATAAATCCTCCTCCGGGACACCCGATGCAAACATCTGTGTTTTGGAGATATTTACGCCAAGGCCTGATAGCTCCTCAAATTTCCTCAGAATGGACAGAACGCCTGCAACATTTTGAACCGAGCCTTCCAGGAAGATAAGCAGGTCGTCTGCGAAGGAGAGGTGTGTCAGCTGGAGGTCTTCGCACTCTGGATGGTAATTGAAAATACCCTCAGATGCTCCTTTGTTTAAAATCAGAGATAAAACATTCATTGACATGACAAACAAAGCTGGGGATAATGGATCTCCTTGTCTCAGACCCGATTTGCCTTTAAAATAACCTCAAGTGGTGCCATTTATGCTTATGGAGAAACTCGTGGAGCATATGCAGGATCGGATACAGTTCGGGAAGGAACTCAGAATAAAATCCCACCTAACTGAATCGAATGCCTTCGAGATGTCAACCTTGAGCGTAACTCTTGGAGAATTTCCTTCAAGATGATAACTCCTGATCACCTCAGATGCTAAAAGAACATTTTCTAGCAAGAGTCTATCCTTCACAAATGCCGTTTGGTTTGGAACAATGATATCCGGAAGAATAAACTTTAATTTATCCGCCAATATACGAGTAATAACCTTATAGATCGTGTCAAGGCACGAAATGGGCCTGAAATCCTTGAGTTCATCTCCTCCAGGTTGCTTAGGAATGAGAACAAGCGAAGTATTATTTAGGCACGTAGGGATAAACGGCGACGCAAAGAATTTTTCCACAGAAGTTGTGATCTCTAAGCCAATAAAGCTCCAGCAAGCCCTAAAAAATTCAGCTGGTAAACTGTCGAGACCAGGAGTTTTACTTTTTGGCATACCCAGAAGAGACTTTGTGATAATCTCCACTGTGACAGGCTCGTTACAGATCGCAATATGGGCATCCGAGCAGGTACGAAGATCAATGGTCTCAAGGAAATCAGGGAGCTCTGGGCAGAAGGATCCCTTGACATTTCCCAGAATACTTGTGAAGAAGTCAACTGCGTGTTCATGGATATCTTTTGCTGTCTCCAACTTGCAACCATCGGGTTTCATCAGATATTTAACTGCATTGGAAGCGTTTCTAGCAGATGTAACTCTGTGGTAGAAAGGAGTATTATTATCCCCTTCAGCATGCCATTTTATACGAGACCTTTGCCTGAAAAAACCCTCCTCAGCTTTTCGCAGCATTACCCAATCATTCCTCGCCTTGCTTTCATTTCTGATGTTTTCGGGAGAGGGATCATGGAGAGAGATAACCTGAAGAGCTCGCAGCTGGTCGGAAGCCTCAGAAACTCTCATTTCAATACCACTAAAGTTTGATTTACACAGAGTCTGGAGCGGCCTTTTCAAGCCCTTGAGCTTATAACATAATTCAGCTAGAAAAGATGCTGGTTCTCCCAACTCTGACCAGGCTTCCTTGACAGTGTCCAGAAAAGATGGGTGAGAAATCAGCATGTTAAAGAAGGGACGCGTACCATAATCCGGAGCTTTTGAAGTGAGTCTGATATGACAAGGGGTATGATCGGAGAACTCAGGAGCGGTGAAGGAGCAATGACTGGTAGGAAATCGCAAAACCCAGCTTTCATTCACAAGACACCGATCAAGCTTTTTCCCAATAGGAGCATCCTCTTGGTGGTTTGACCATGTATACCTTGGTCCATGGAAATGAAGATCAAATAAGCCCAAATCAACAAGACATTCTCCAAATTCTCTCATTTCCCTTGTAGATCGATAGATAGATTGATTTGAAGTCTCGGAGGGGTGGAGAATTTCATTAAAGTCTCCGCAAACCATCCAAGGGACAGAGGAGAGACCAAATGCAGCAAAAGTATCTCTTAGGGACAGCCACAAGTCCTTCCTGACATCTAAGTCATTTGAGGCGTAAATAGCTGTGAAGATGAAACTTTCTCCTGATTCCAAAGTAACTTCCACTGAAATAGACTGAAGATCCGAAAACAGGTGACGAACTCTGACCTGAGGATTATAGATGAAACAAATCTTCCCCAATTCTGAAAACTAATAGTTGGATATATACGACCAAGAAGGACCAATATAAGACAAAATGGGGTTTATATTAGGTTCCCTTACATGCGTTTCCAGCAGCGCTCCAAAAAGTACTGGTTTACTACTTAGCCAGTTAGCGAGCGGTCGGTGCTTTGAAGAATCGTTCAGCCCATGCACATTCCAAAAAAATGTATCACACATCTAATTGTTTTTGATTTGGTGACGCTCCTCTGTTTTTTGGGGAATACCACCACCTTTGTCCGGTAAGTTTCTTGCAAGCCACTTCCGTTTCTTTCTTGACTGATATTTGAGGATGGAGAATAACGGTGGGAAGGCGGAGCTATGACAAGGGCCAAGTTATTGTTTTCCTCCACCGGACCATTTCCATTCTGCAATATCGCAAAGGGATTAACAGAGACCACTAATTCCTTTCCATGCTGAGGACGAGAATTTGGGGAGGCGGTTTTAACTGGCAGGATGAATTGATCGCCAACCCTTTTTGCGGATTTGGAAGAACTTCCTTTTCATTAGAAGAGGCAAATGGCTGAGAGATGATTACCGGCTTTTTTAGGGCACTAGAGGGAGGCATCACCTTTACTTTGATGGATTCTTTTGGCAGAGGGGAATTCTTCTGAACCGGGACGTTTATACTCTGATTCACAACATCCACGGGGTCAGCAACTGGAACTTCTGGTGGAGCAGAGTCAGAGGGAACTTCAGATTTAACGACAGAAGATCCTTTCGGACACATAGCTGCCTTGTGGCCAACTTCCTCGCAGATTGGACAGAGAGAAGGCAGCCAGGGATAGCTGACAGTAAGAATCCAGATATTTCCATCTTCTCTTTCTATTTCCAATTCTTTTGGAATGGCTTTGGTCAAATCAGCAATAATCTTGATCTCCGCCGAATTGATGGTAGTGAAAGGTTTCGCATCAACAACTCTACCAATGGGCTTCGCAATAAAGCTTAAACCCTCATCAGTGACAAGGTCGGAGGGAATATTCTTTATCGTTGCCCAAATCGGAGCTTTATCCAGGGAGGGAGGGTTTAAGCTGAAATCTGCTTTCTATTCCGTGATAAAAAAAAACGGCGAGTTTCCCACTCTCCAGAGTTCGTGTTGGAGGACTTGGCGGCGAAGAGCAGGAGAAGGAATGTAGAAGAGGAAGGCGTTCTTTGTAAGAGAACACAGATAGTTTAGAACACCCCAGATCTTCCCATGAGATGGAGGTTTTCCGTAGAAGATGCCGACGATGTAGTCGGAATGGATCTTTGCGCCTCTCTCGAATACACCATTTGGGATTTTAACCCTAGGAACCTTTGGATCTTGGAATCGGCGAGATGAATTGAGGTTTGACGCCCAATTAAAGTCGGGAGAAGAAGTGTTTGTAGGAACTTGCACTTCAGCAACTAGTGGATCAACCACGGGATTTGACTCCGGGGTAGTATTAGGTGTCTGATTCGACAGGGCAGAACCAGCAATATCAGAGGAAGTCTGATGATTTAGGGAATCAACGGAAGCACAAAGCTTCGGTGAAGTAGAGAGAGCCGACGGCGGAGGGAGGAGATCCGCCATGGCAACGTCACCGGGCGAAGGAAAAATCAGCGGGGGTGAGGAAAGGGAGAGGAGAGAGGCGGATATTGGGGGAAAGGAGGGATTGGGGGCGGAGAGGCCCGTGACATGGCCCGAGATTGAAAACGATGAAGAAGGGTTGAGGTTACTATTTAATCTCATTACATATTTCGTGGGATATATACCAACTTTGACTACGACATTTTATTTATCAAGATTCGTCTTATTGCTTTATATATTTGCAGTTGCTATAAAATATTCAGTTTCCATAAACCGAGCCTTCTTTGTTGCAGCCATTTTTTTGAAGTGCTCCTTGATTGTTCAAGCCATCAAAAACGTGTATTATTTTACCTTCAGGTTCTCCTCTATGCAGCGGAGAACTAAAAGATTACGTAACTGACTAACTGAGTACAACTAGATTTGACTCTCTTTGGTTTTAGTCAATTTTTACCTCTTTCTCTAACTTGAGAATCATTTTGGAATAATGCGAGTTACGATCAAAGCTATTTGATATCTACATAGCTATGTGGTATGGCTTGGCCCCTGTTTTTTAGTTGCAGGGTGACTCTTTTGAGAAGGTAGAACAGACTCTGCAATTCTGCAATGTTAAACATTCAACGTCAGCCTCACACTCATTCTTCTACACAAAGGTGAAGAGTTTCTTGAGCATTTGGAACACAAAACAGAACATCAGTTACATTAATAGTAGCAAGGACATCAGAGAGATGCTGGAATTTTGTTTTCATCTTATTCGTCACAATTCTTATTATTATGAGTATAGTATTTTTTTTTTTCAATGGTTGCACTATCAAATTTGCAGTTCATCTATGAATTCTTGGTTCTACCAATTATGAGGTCACTGTTCTTATGAATGATACATTTTTTGTAGTTATATATGTGTTCTTTCATGATCCAATTCAAAATAAATGTTTTCTTTCAAATATATGTTGTGAATGTTAGTTATATACGGAACAATCATCACTTAGGTTTTTCGCCACTTCTCTTTCCAGAATGCATACTTGAAATTCATTATTAAAAAAAAATTGTTGTAGACATGGCCAGGGAAGGAAAGACAATTCATAGAGGTCACATAAAATACTTTGATATTTATCTATATATATAGAAACCGTAGATAGTTCCACTGATTTGAAAAGATCTCGCATTTGAAACAATATGTCATGTTCAACATACATGCAGAGAAAAAATAATACTCTTAGCATTTAATTAGATAACTTTGGAAAGTGTTTTATTAGATAATTTTGGAAAGTATTTTATTAAATAATTTTGGAAAGTATTTTATTAGATAATCTAAACTGTTATTCTAATAACAAAAATATTAGCATCGTTATCGGCGTATCCAATTACTATACAAGATTTCTAAACAATAATAATATTGCTTTAATAATTAATTCATTTTTAGATATAATAATTCATATTTTTATCGTAAATCTAGCGAATATTTTTGAAATCTCTATTATACAACATTTACTTAGATTTGAATTTAAAATGAAAATCTCAAGATAAGATATTCTATGTCGTCACAAATACATAGATATTCCATAATGAAAATTATTATCATATATATTATAAGCGAAGTAAAATTTTAGTTTAAACTCTTTCATTCAATTTCAGGGTGGCTAATTACTCTTTGCCCCTCCTAAAATTTATTTAA